CCGCTTTAGGTACTGAACACTTTATCCTTTGGGATAATCGGTGTCTGGAGAGCACCACAAGTCCTTTGGTCTTGAGAACAGACCTTGAAGATACACCCCAGCTCGCCAAAGACACTGGCTTACACTAAATCACACCTCGGCTGACTATCCTCGGCCAAATACAAATGCCAAAAACCCAGATGGACTCAAAGATGCAGCAGGCCAGGGATTTCTTCTGCTACCTTCCATTCCTCCTGGGTTTGTACAGCCCATGTGGACAGGATCCCGAGGTCAGTCCGAGTGGATTGAATCTCGTTTTTATAAGTAAGGTCGATATAGAAAGGCATATTCGCTAGTTATGTCCAACTCAGTTATTTCTACAAGGAATGGCTGAAAGTGGTGGAGGTAGACAAATTATCGATGAATCTGGAGATGCTAAAGGCACGTGTTATTAAAATTTATGTTAGAGAGTATGGGAGACTTGTTATTGAGGTACTAAGAAACTTGTTAAGGAGAAGCTGTTTTATTATTTTGTTTTTGTTCCCCCCCCAAATATCCTTCAAATTCGAAGTGTAACAACTGATTCTGACTATTAAGGATTTGAACTTCAGTCCTGCAAATACCCAATTAAAAGATTGTTTTCAATAAAGCCTTGGAGCTAAACTTGGTAATTGTGCCCCTTTATTCCGCTGTTTAGCATGGGTGTTCATGGGAACATGGGTATATTTGTACATTGAATAAACGAACGGATTTGGGAATGAAATGGGGCAAAAGGCCAAAATTGAGAACCCACATCTCAATGACACACGGCCCTTTTAAAAACTCCATATATTTTGGAGATTGTCCATGAGCACAGCACTCATTTCTACATATTCAGGCCTAATTTAAAAATAAAAATAAAAACCACAGCACATTTCATCTGGTGACAATATAATGTGGTGACAAAATAAAATAAAATTTTATTTAAATATTCCGTTTGTTATCCGAAAAGAAGAGAGCAGTTAACTTCGTAAATATCTTCACTTTTACTCATTTGTTTTTGATGTAATGCATTAACTTAACGTTTTATAGTTTCTGCACAACAGTCCAGAATGTCTGAAATGCTGACTGAGCCAAAATTTTATGTCTGACAGGCACGGCTTGAAATTTTAATAGTTCACGTTGTTTATTTTTGTTAAATTTATCCTAATTTAAGATTAAAAGTAAGATTGTAAATATTTTTAATCAAAACCTTCCTCCACCGCAATGCTAGCGTTAGGAAATCAGAAAGTGGAGCAACAGCGCTCTCTAGTGGCAAAACGCCGTCGCGAGCTAACCGAGTTTGATTTCCCTTTCATTTGCCTCAAACCAATTCTAATCTTAATTCTTCAGTTTGACTTGGGCTTGGACCGCTGACACTAATAATGCTTCATCTCCTTGACTGTCAACAAGTCAGTTGCAGCAAGCGTGGGCTCCTGAATGCAGAGGAAATTCTCATTTGGGCTCTCAAGAGCTTGTAAGTAATGTGTTTGCCAAAAGCTTCCAGCCGGTCCTTTGCCAGACACCGCAAGTCCCCAATTCTGTTATCTCCCAGCTGTGCTTTTTAGATACAATTGTAGGATAGGTTAGGTTTAACACAAATCAAAACTTTAAAAATATTAATTGATGATACTTTTTCAAAGAAACCAGGCACTTTGACAGCTAAAATTTTTCTAGAAGTCAAATATTGTTGTTTTTCTTAAAAGATATTACTTCCAACATTAAATGATGTATATTTCCTAATTCAACTTTTTAATCTTCATGTTTTGAGTTCATTAAACTGGATAATTTGGAGCGGATCAAAGTCAATTTAAAAGCTTTTTGCAGCATCCTGTGTGCCTGTCTGGAAAGTCCCTATCGGGCTTATGTTTATTCAAATTTCCCCAGACAATAAATGAGAATTTTAATATTCTATAAGTGACAGACTAAACCAAATTGGATAAGCGGTCTGTTTGACTTTTTTTAAAAAAGAAAATAAAACATACCAAATCGGTATGTTTCTTGCTAAATTAATCTGTCTCTTATTTTCAGAAATATTTTCGGCCAATTTAGCTTTAATGACTATATCTGTAATAAGTGAAAAATGTCCATGTTTTTTGGGGGGATTTGGGGTAGAGTGCCAGTGAAAAGGCGTGTAACACCCCCTTTCCCCACAAGACATAATCCTAGGAGATGCTTGCTTGAGTAAATGGCCCACGTGGTAGTATCATTGTCTTATTTTTCTTTTTAAAAGAACCAGATAGATCATGGCCACAGTCAAAACAGCGAAGAGCCACAGGCCATAGGCTACCTCTAACGTTCACCTCATTAAGGAAAATCAGAAATATATCACCTCTCATTTTTTTTTTCTGGATACTCACGCCTCACTGGGGTGGGGGCTTCCTAGCCCCTGCCTTCTTGGTCCAAGTCTTGTTTATATTTTATTGTCCAGATTTTAAGACCCAGTTTTGTCTGCATTTTTCCTTTCCTCCCACAAACATCAAAATGAGATGGTTTCAAAGCGAAGCGCCTGGCCTGTCGTAAACTCATTACCTCCAGACGTCTCGCCAGCTCGATGGCTTTATGACACCTTGGCTCTTCCTGTTTTCAAAGAGCTGTAGGTATCCGCCTGGCCTAAGGGGCGGGGGAATGCAGCACCTTCAGCCGGATCTGGGCCTTGGCTTTCCCTCCCAGCCCCCTTCTTCTTTTCCTTGGAGTCCCCCTCTTTCACCAGGATCCCCAAGATCTCTGCCATCGCCCCCGCCTTCCTCCCAACCCAGGCTGCCCGGCGCCGTGGCCTCCTCTAGGGCTTGCAACGCCAGTGATCCGCCTGAACCCTCACAATGACCTTCATTTTAGCCTCTCAATGCGGCTTCAGAGGGCCAAGCTGGGGCCTAAACATACATAGAAGCTGGGTGGAGGGAAGGGGAAGGCAGGATGAGGCTATGTGTGTGTGTGTGTGTGGGGGGGTGGTGTCTTGACCATTTGGATCCCTAAGGTCACTTTGGGGCTGTGATGGGGAGGGGCAGATGCTCACTGCTTAACCGGCTGGGACCTCCAGGAGCCCGCCAGCGTGGCCGGCCTGGGGGAGTTACTACACTGTGCAGGGTTGCCCTTTTCCCTTGTTTGGAGATTGGCGTCTGGGTCTCCAGGATAGAGAAGTAGGCCAGCGGTGCTGTGTGTCAAAGCCTTAGCAAAAGGGTGCCTGGTTCCTGGCGCCAGTGGCTCTACAGAGAGACTTATTCAAGGCCTAAGGCCCTGACAGCAGGATAGGAGAAGCACCAAGACATCTTCCAAAATTGTTCTCTTCGGCCAGGTGTATGTGTACACAAAAGGAAGCTCAAAGGTATCTCAGAGAACCTCCAGATGCTCGGGCCTCCAACCTTTAGCAATGTGTCCCTTCTTGGGGTTGGGGACAGGCTGATGGTCATGTTATTTTGCAAAGACACAGAGGGCAGTCACACAACATTCAGGGCCAGTGTCTGGGCTCCATTTACTCAGATCAGCTTTTATTTGTTGGAAGCGGTAACATTTACACTGGTCCTCAGGCAGGAACATGAAGGGCCACCACCCCAGGCCGCCCAAGGGAGCCCAACCCTCCCGGGGAGAGAGCAGCTCTTCCGGGGCTCAGAGGGCCAAGCTTTCCCCGCACCCTGCGGCGTCCCAGAGCCCAGGACTTCTCGGTAGGCCTCATTGGAAGTCAGCCTGCAGGCTCCCTGAGGAAAGGGGCTTTCCTGCGGTGTGCAGCTGGCTTGGGTTTGGGCTGGAGAGCAGCGCGGGTGTCCATAATCTCCCTCTGCCTTCAGATTCTCGGAATTGGATAGTTGGCCCTGTTTGGGAGGCTGGACCGGGTGAGACTAAACTACAGCACTTTTCAGAAACATGAGGGACATTTACACAAGAGAGGGCTTCATCAAGCCTGCGTGCACTCACAAAATATAGCATTTCCTAAGGAACCAACAGAGTAGGAAAGGGAGGGAGCGGAATAAGACAAAACTCCAAAGCCACTTGGTTTCTCCAATACATATGCGAGCAAATACAGTGTCCCCCAAATAACTCACAGAGACCAACCACACAGTCACTTCTACCTAAAAAAGAAGAAAAAAGTCCGAGTTGCTGGAGAGTTTCTGAATCAAGCACCCACAAGGAAAAAAAAAGAAAAAGAAAGAAACAAAAAACAAAACAAAACCCCAAACCGGCTGCCTCTGAGCATTTCAGGCCAGGACCGGCTGGGTCAGTCTCCTTTGGGGCATTTCTCCTTGCTCATCTTTTTCATTTTCATCCTGCGGTTCTGGAACCAGATTTTGACCTGTCTCTCTGTAAGGTTCAGAATCCTGGCCACCTCGTAGCGCCGGTCCCGGGTGAGGTACATGTTGAAGAGGAATTCCTTCTCCAGCTCTAGAGTCTGGTATTTGGTGTAGGGACAGCGCTTTTTCCGGGTGGAGCGAGCGTGGATCCAGTTCGCTGCGGGGTTGTCTAGGAAGAGGGGGGTTTGCAGACAGGGAGCGAGGGGCGGAGGGGAGGCAGGGAGAGACGACAGGGTGGAGAAGAGAGGTCGTTAAATTAATTTCACCAAGGATGGACGCTTTTCACAACTTGGGGGAATTATCATAAAAAGCCTTAATGCCCGCGCTCTGTTTACCGTACAAACCGCGCGCCCAAGGTAGGTGGTTATGGGAAGCTTTTTTATGGATGCGTGTTGCTCGCCTAGGCTTGGGTAGGCGTCTAGACGTTTTTATAGGTTAGTAAAACTATCAGTTTTGCACATTCGAGCCTTACAGGTTTCAGCAATAAATCAGGGGGCAATTTCTTTTGCACTTACTTGGGTCAAGTTGCTGCTGCGGCGGCTGCGGCGGCTGCTTCTCCTCCTCCTT